GTAAGTCTTAAATGAGACCCAAACCATAAAACTCCTCAAAGAAGACATAGGGGAAAAGCTTGATGACATTGGTCTTGGCAATGACTTCATGCATATGATACCAAAAAGCACAGGCAATGGAAACGAAGATCAACAAGTGGGACTATTTCAAACTAGGAAGCTTCTGCCCAGCAAAGGAAACCATCAGCACAATGAAAAGGCAACCGACCAACTGGGACAGAATATTTTTAAACCATGTATCAGATAAGGGGTTAATATCCCACATATGTGGGGCACCTGGGTGGCTCAGTCGTTAAGCATCTGCCTTCAGCTCAGGTCATGGTCCCAGGGTCCTGGGATGGAGTCCCACATCGGGCTCCCTGCTCAGCAGGAAGCCTGCTTCTCCCTCTTCCACTCCCCCTGCTTGTGTTCCCTCTCTCGCTGTGTTTCTCTCTGTCAAATAAATAAATCTTTAAAAAAAAAAATATCCCACATATGTAAGGAACTGCTACAGCTGGATAGTAAAACACAAACCAACAAATAACCTGATTTTAAATGGGTTAAAGACTTGAGTAGATATTTCTTCTATGGCAGTCGGGTATATGAAAAAAGGGAAATGGAAATCTAACCCCCCATGAGATGTTACCACACACATGTTGCAAAGGTTATTATTGGGAAAAAAAAAAAAGAAAAGTGTTGGTGAGGATGTTGAGAAATTGGAACCTTTGCATCCTGTTGGTGAGAATGCAAACTGGTGCGGCCACTCGGAAAACAGTATGGAGGTTCCTCAAAAAATTAAATATACAACTATATGCTAAGATCCAGCAATCCCACTTCCGGGCATTTCTCCAGAAGAACTGAAATCAAGATCTCGAGGAGATATTAACACACCTTTGTTCACTGCAACACTATTCACAGTAGCTGAGATATGGAAACAACCTAAATGTCCACTGAAAGATGAATGGTTGAGAAAAATGTTGTAAATACATACAATGGAACACTATTCAGAGGACAGATCTCATATGAGCTGTTAATAAAATAAAGAATGATAAAATGAAAAATGTTATCACAGTCGAAACCAAAACAAACACCACACTGAGATGCCACTTCACATACAGTAGACTGGCTGAAATATTAAAAAGACTTTCCAAACTAAGTGTTGTTGAGGATGGGGGGGCAACTGGAACTCTCCTATGTCGCTAGTGAGAAAGTAAAATTGGAACTACTTCGGAAAACAGGGTAGCATGTTCTTTATAAAATTAAACATGTGCCTCCTCAGCGATCCCCTCACTGCACTCCTAGATGGAACTCTACCCTAGAGAAATGAAAACACACACCCACTTCGAAGACTCCTGCACAAAAGTTCCTGGCAAGTGTACTTGTAATCACCCAGAGTTGGAAACAACAGAAATGTCCATAAATGAGAGAATAAATTTAAAAAACACAATTTTTTGCATCCTTTCAATGTAATACAACTAACAGATAAAAAAGAAAACACTGTGGATACTTACAATAATATGGAGCAATGGGTTATTTTAAAAAACCATGCTGAGTAAAGCTGTAGACCCCAGCCCCAAATCGTACTGTATAATTCAAATTTTCAAAATTCTAAAAAATGCACACCAATCTATAACAGCAAAAGCAAATGTAAGGTTTCATGGGAACATGGGGAAGGAGGGCCAGAGGGGTGGGAATGAAGAGAATAAAGAGGACATGAGGAGACTTTTGTGAGGAGGGACATATTCAGTATCTTCACCTAGGAATGACTTCTCTGCATGCCCGTGGCAAAGCTTATTAAATTGTTTTCAATATGTTGAACTTCTTATGCGTCAACTATAATTCAATTAGGTGGTTAAAAATTATACGTCTATATATGAAATATTAATGTACAAATAAAAAACTGGGTAGCAGGACTTTTTCGTCCGCATTTCCTGCACAGTCCACCAGAGGGCGGCAGAGCGCTCTACACCTGGGCTCCTTCCTCAGCACCCACAGCCCAGGAGGGTCTGACCCTCCCCAGCCTCACCCAGTCACCGGCCTCCTGTCTCTCCAGGCTCCCCACACTGGACCCCGTCAGCCCCTCTGGCCAGCCAGGCGTCTGCCCGCTGAGACTGGTCCCTCTATGGGCAGCTAGTCCCTCCACGCCCTCTGTCGTTAGAGGGGCGAAGGTCCACTCACACTTCCGGTCTCAGCCCCAGGTCACTTTCTCAGGCGTGCTCCATGGGACCCCCCATCAGCTAAGACCCCCTCCATGCTCCAGACACACCAGACGCTTTCCCTTCCTGGCCCTTCTCTAGGGCCGATTCTAATTGACTCCTCAGTGCCATGATTTCCTGACTGCCCGTGGCCCTGTTCCAAGGGAAACCCCACGAGTCCAGGGCCCACATCTGTCCTGTTCTCTGTGGAGCTCCCAGGACCCAGCCCAGGGCCTGACACGTCACAGAAGCCCAGTAAATACTCGTTAAATGCAGGAGGGAAACCACACAATGGAAGTCCCCCCCGTGTCACCTGGGGTCGGAGCCTCTTCCCCGCAGACCCAGGCCGCTGGCATCAGCGGGGGGGGGGGGGGGGGCAGTACGTGCCCGAGGCTGTCCCTGTAAGGCTGGCAGGGCTTTCCCCCTCCTAGATTCAGGAGGGATGACAGGGGCCTCCTACAGTTAGAGGTCAGACCCCCATTCATTCCCAGAACACGGACACCCCCCTCCCATCTCTGTCTGTGACTGACTTCTCTCCCCAGAGGGCCTGGGTGGGCAGCCTGTGTCCTTCCTCTTCTCTCAGAGATCTGACCTGCCACAAACTCTGGATCACCACCCCAGGTGCAGTTACTACCAGGGGAGTTCAGAGCCCTACACTGACCTCCAAAGACATCAGGGGGTGACTCCTCATCCTGAGGGCCCCTGGTCTGTGGGGACACCTGCTATGTCTCCCTGAAGGTTTCTCAGCAGCCCAAGGAGTCCTGGGGAACAAGGGGGAACATCCCAGGTAGACGGGACAGAAGAACCCAGGATGTGCCTGTGTTTCCCCAGCACTAAGGGTCTCCTCCCCTTTCACAGAGGCAGCCCTGGGATCCCTCAGCTGAGTCTCCGGGTGGAGCCACCCCAGCTCCTGATTCCTCCAGGGAGACCTAGAGCAGAGCAGAGACAGGGACACAGATGACTTGGAAGGAATCTCCCCACTGCTGTGATGGGGAGACAGAGCATTGTGGTGTTCAGCCTCCCAGGCTGGTGCCTTTTCCCCAAAGTCTCAAAAGACCCCTACAAGGTCATTCCTTGAAATCTCGAGGACAGAGAGCTCATGCTGAGGGAGCACATCTCTGGGCTGACAATTCTCCTGACACAGGATCAGGAATATTCTGGATACTGCCTGTCCTCTCCCTGGACTCACCCTGCCCTGGGATGGAGTCAGGCAGTCTAGGACCCACAGGGACCAGGACCCGGGCTGACCCGTCCCTCACCTCTGCCCAGGACTCAGGGACCCACTCACATCCTTGGGAGACTGGTCAGCATCCCTGGTGCAGCCCCCAGAACCGCCTCCAGGGGGCGACATAGGGGCATGCAGGCATTAAACCCTGAAGGACCTTAAACCCTGAAGCTGGCTTTGGCTAAGGAGGTGGAGAAGGAGCCTGGTTTCCATCCCTTTCTCCAACAGACCCTTCTGGGTCCCTCCCACATGTCTGTTCTGTCCTGCCCGCTCCTTCTAGGGAGAAGACCCTTGATTTGTCAGGGGTCCCTGTGCAGCAACCCATTCCCTGCCTGGCACCACCAGGGGGATGGGGGAGGCAGGGTGACCACAGCAAAGTCCCCCAGGCAGAGGACACAGGCTGCTCAGGACTCTCAGGAGCACATCGACAGTCTCTGGGCCACAGTTCAGCCAACAGACCCTGAGGGAGGGTCTCCTCCAAACCTTCCTGGGGGCCCCAGCCACCCGACCTCCCACCACGTCCTCTCTTCCCAGGACACAGGAAACACCCTTCCCACCTGGGAACCGAGCTCCTGAGACACCTGGTCCTGGGTCTCTGTCCCTGGAAGCAGAGGCTGGGCTGGGGACAACCAGGGATGGGCCGTGGGTCCCTCACCAGTAATCACCCGGCCTGCCCTTTTCTCACCCCCAGGGTCATCTTTGGGGCCTTGCTGCCAGGAGTCAGTCCAACCTCCCCAGACCTGTGAAAACACCGGGGAGACAGATGCCCAGTTGGGCTTCTCTGTCACAACAGAAATAATCCCCTGGATTTGGGGACCCTGGGGCTCTGTGTGTGGCGCCCACAGACTCAAGGCCAGGACTCAACAGAGGCCAACTCAGGGTAGGGAGAGGGGCCAACCTCTAAGGGAACCGTGTCCCCCTCAGTCTGGCTATTCAGAGTGTGCTCCCCGGGCCAGGACGATCAGCATCACCTGGGAGCTTGTTAGAGGCAGACTCTGGGGTCCACAGCACACCTGCTGAGTCAGAATCTGCATTTTCACAGGGTCTGCAGACCCTCCGTGGGCACAGGAGAGGGAGAGGCGGCCCCACCCCACATCATGGGTCTCAGTCTGGCTGGGCATCTGCTGAAGCAGCATTTCTGGGTGTCACCTGGGCAACCACAGTCTTGATAAAGTTCCACAGGTGATTCCAACGCACAGTGGGGGTGACATCCTTGTGACAAGGGTTCCTGAGGCAGCGCCCAGCCTCCTGCTCTGAAGGGAAAGCCACACGGGGAGGAGAGAGGGCTGTGGGGGTGCTGACCCTGCACCTTGACCCCAGCTGTGGGGGTCACCGGACCCCAACGCCACAGGCTTGTGCTTGTCCAAACAAGGGCGTGTGCGCGCTCTCGCATATGGTGGGAAACCACAGCTGAAGACGGAGAGGCATCAGCAGTTCCCAGGAAACCGCAATGTAGACAGAAAGGAAAGGGGAAGAAGAGGACAACGGAGTCAGGAGGGAGGGGAGGGGAAGGGAAGGGAGGGGAGGGGCCCTGGCAGAGACCCCGCCCCCGGCCCACGTGACCCCGCCCAGCGCTCCTAGGGCCAGAGGCCGCTCAGCTCAGAGGGAGGAAGGACGGCACAGCTGACAGGACAGGACGGCAGTGCTCCTGAGCGTTTCTGGAGCAGAAGCTCTTCCCCCAGAGGGAGGGACGCACCGGGCAGCAGGCACCATGGAGCCCCCGTCGGGCCCTCCCCGAGGAGGACGCGTCCCCTGGCAGGAGGTCCTGCTGGCAGGTGAGACGGATGATCCCCTGCGAGGGGGCGGGAGGATGGGAGAGAGAAGCTGGCTGGGGTCTCCCGGGGAGGACAGGGCTCTGAGAGGGGACAGGGGAGCAGGGCAGGACGGGGGAGCCGGCTCAGCAACGGGAAAATCTCATGATCTGGAAGTGGGGAGCCAAGGGCTGTTTCCCAAGTTACTCATCACTGAGGACTGAATTCTGAAAACTGGTAACAACAACCAGGGACCGTAAACACTGCCCTTTCCCACCAACCTGAGATCTTGACAGACAAACGCCAGACTTGGAGAGCCCTGGAGCCACATTCATTCAGCCCCGGGTATTTGCAGCCTGCCCCACCCCTGGGGTACAGCACAGATCAGACGAGTCCCTGCCATCCCCGAGCTCACTTCTATGGGGAGGAAGACACGGAGAGACTCTAGAATGTGATGTCAGGTCCTGACAAGCACCAGGAAGGGAACAGAGCAGGGAAAGGTCAGAACGTGAAGACAGAGGGTCTTTAGAGGACGCGCTCAGGGCAGACCTCTCCCCAGGACCCCCTGAGTGGGAGTAGGGATCTGAGGGCAGTGAGGGAATGAGCGACAGACATGTGAGGAAGAGGGTTGGGTACAGAGGAAGTAAGCTCAGAGGCGCTGAAGTAGTGTGGTCATGCCCCTGACCTTGACCAGCAGGAGACACACACACACACAAACACACACAGATACCCAAGCACACTCACACACACACCCTGAGGCTGGGGGATTAGGACCTGCTCCTTCTCCGGGGCCCCAGCTTTCCCTCCAACAAATAGGTCCAAACACTGATCTGTGTCTTCCCTTCCCTCCTAGTCTCACTCCTAACCTTCTGGAGCCCGCCCACCACTGCCCAAGTCACTGTGGAATCGGTGCCGCCCAGTGTTGCTGAAGGGAAGGATGTTCTTCTGCTCGTCCACAATCTGCCTGGGGATCCTCTAGGCTATGGCTGGTTCCGAGGGGAAACTATAGAGCCCAGCCGTCAAATTGTATCATATGTAGTAGACGCACAAGTAACTACCCCAGGGCCTGCACACAGTGACAGAGAGACAATATACCCCAATGGATCCCTGCTGTTCCAGAACATCAACCTGATCGACACAGGATACTACACCATACAAATCACAAAGAGAAATCTTCAAGTTGATCAAGGAACAGGACAGCTGCGCGTATTCCGTGAGTAATTCCTCTCTCACCTCTGGTGTTGGGTGGG